TAAAATGCGTTACTAAATTTAAAAAAAAAATAAATATAAATAATATATCGTTATTTTTTTCAAAGTATTTTATTAGAATTTGACTTAAATGAAATTACTTTATTAAATAATTTATTTTACATTGTAATTTTATACAAAATTTTATATACCGATATTAATCTACATTTTATTATTAATATCGATATATAAAATTTTCATAATGTACCGATATTTTGATATACCGATATTTTTTTCCAAAAACATCTATATCGGTATATAGAGGTTTGACTGTAGTTATTACCAATCATTGCATCATCATTTTACTTCTTCCTTTCGTATCACTGATATTATTAAGAGCAAGGATTTAACGTCAAGTTAACGATTAACCGACCCGCAGAAATAACGGAACAAACTCATTCAGTCTAAACCATTTTAAAATTAAATTGTTCGTTTTTTTTTTTAGTCTATATTGATGATCACGTGAAAAATCTATGAGGAAATTTCGATATCATAGCAATTTTTGTTACTTATCAAAAATAAACTAATAAACGCCCTCTCAAATGATTTATTATTTATGAATTAATTTTACCATCCGACATAATTTTGCGTGATTAATCCATGTTTATAAATATACACTCTCTTCTCATTCCCTTCCCCCAGAACAATTGTAAAAATCATAAAGAAAAATGACTCGTTCAAAACGAAATGCCAAGAGTGCCATTCCTGCTGTTCAAAATAAAGACCGTCATCTTCAAAGGTAAATAATAATCATCATCATTTTAAACAGTTTTAATGTGAAAATAATTAAATAATTAAAAACTATTTTTTTAGGAGTGGATTATTGGATGCAAGAGGAATGCCAAAAAAGGTTTCGTATCTATTTTTAGGGAATTTTTTTCTCCTCCTTTAAAAAACTCAATGGTCATCCTTTATAGGAAGGAGGTGGTCAACATAATTGGGGAAAGCCCACGGACGAACTTGCGGAATTGGATGAACATTATGAATATTTTGATAATGTGCCTAAATATGATAAAGAAAAAGTTCAGAACGCAAAAGCGGCAGAGACTAATAGAGATATTGGCAAGTTAGGGAAATTACAAGTTGTGAATCCGGAAGAATTTGAAACTCTTAACCGTGAAACCAATTCTGTTGAAACTGAATCTAATGAAGGTTCTGTGACATTGAAAAATAAATAAGCATGTGAAAGTTGAATACTTTCAAATTATTTCGCTTTGTATCATCATTAAATCGATTATCTGTATATACAGTATATATATTTTTTTCTTTTCTTTTCTTTTTTTTTTTTTTTTTTAGAAAAGTCGTTAATTACAATTATCACTTTATTTAAGAAATAAAATTTAAAACAATTTAAACGTTTCGTTATAAAGCTATTTTCATGCCGACATCAACGACATCCTCGATTGGAATGTTCCAATTTCCGTATAATTGTCTTGAATTATTAACTAAAAAGACGTAACAATAAATTAATAATCTTTTCAACCAAGAAGCATTTAATTTAGGGTGAAGTTGTTGTTGACTAACTACATATGTCACATGATTTGAATTTTCCAATAGGCCTTCATGAGTGGGATCAAATTTATGAATTGATTCGAGCATCTTTTTCACAAATTCTTGTCCTTGTGAAATCTTCTCCATATAACCATAACGGGCAATTATATTATAACAACCGTCATAATTACTAACTTTTCTCACGACCAGGCGATCGTCATCACCCACGTATGGAATCGCAACGGGACGTATTGTAATGAATATGAGAATTTGTGGTACCGCCGGGAAATGTTGTATAAAGTGTCGAAATGTAAGTGGAACACCGAATGCCACTTCATTGTAAAACATTCCAATACCCGGTAATCTACTAACTTGAAATCCACTGCTCGCGAGTCGTATTTGACTTTTATTAACACCTTTTCGAATTTTTATTTCACCAAAATTCATTTCTTTGGTGGTTGAATTTCCATCTACCAGTTCATTTGATGGCTCCATTTCACCGATTGCTATTTTAGAACTTGGGTCAATCGAAACATCTTTCTCTATCATTTCTTCATCCCCTTTATCTGGTTCGTCGTCGTTAACAAAAATGTGTTCAAGTTTCGTTTTTGACTTTAACGCGTGTTGAAATTTGAGGCGCGAACCCCATTTCCAAATAATCATAATCAAACAAATAATAAACGCCAATAAAAGTGTAAACCAACCACCTTCATGAATTTTACGAAGGGTAGAAATCAAGAATGATAAATCAATTATACCAAATATCAATAGGAAAGTTATAGATAATATTATCGGAAGTTTCCAAACAACGCAAATTGTTATAGATGTCAGAATTGTTGTAATGACCATCACCGAACCAACCGCGACCCCGTAAGCGTTAGTTAGGTTGGCGGATTCTTTGAAAACAATACAAATTATCACAATAATTATCATAAGGAAGTAATTAATCTATAAAATATTAAAAAAAAAAAAAAAAAAGGTTGCAAGTCAATTTTATTCTTTTTTTTTTTTCCTCATCTTTTACATGAATAATTTCTAAACAAATTACCTCGGGAATATAAATTTGTCCTTCTAAAACCTTTGAAGTGTGTATGATCTTCAAATAAAAATTTAAAAAGTTCAAATCAAATCATAGTTTATAACGTTCAAGGGAACAAATATCAAGGTTAAAAAACTTACTTTAACTCTCGGGAAACATTCCAGTTGCACCGCTTGATGTACTAATGAGAATGTGGCAGAGATCATTGCCTGAGAAGCGATAATCGTTGCCAGAGTAGCAAAAACAAAAGTTATCCAATAAATCAAATCGTTATCTGGTACTGAATTCCAAAATGCGTTTGGTTTGACAATGGAAGGATCCAAGATTATACGGGCGCCCTGTCCAAGATAAGCCAAGGTCAACGTAGGATAAACAAAGAGCGGAAAAGAAAGTTGGATAGAAATGCGATTGAAGTGACCCAAATCAGCATACAAGGCTTCAACTCCCGTTATGGATAACAAAACCCCACCGAGACTGTTGAATCCCAACCCTTTATTACGAATAAAGTAATCAAAGATATTATATGGATTGAATGATCTCAAAATATCTGGATGTTTTGTAATATTCCATATTCCAGTAGATGCGATCGTCACTAGCCACAAGAAAACGATTGGGGCAAACCAATCCCCGACCTTGTTTGTGCCGAATCGTTGAGCCAAAAACAATAGAACGATGATCGCGCTTTAAAATTCAAAATAAACTTTTGAATCAGAATTCAATTTTTTTTTTTTTTACACAAAAAGTATAAAAGATTTAAAAATTAATTTACTACCAACTGATGGGAACTATGTATGTTTCTAACGATGGGGCTTTAATTGCAATTCCCTCTACTGCGGATATTACAGACACAGCTGGGGTTAATAATCCATCGCTCATTACCAAGGATGAACCAAATAAAACAATGATTAGCAACGCATTTTGTATAAGTTTGTAACGCGCTATAAGATTTGGTTGCTTGAAGCTATGGGTTGAGCTGGTATCGTATCTCACAATTGAATTATCATCTGATCTACTCTCGCCGTTTACACTTAAACCCGAATATCTTGAATCATTATAATCACGTAAAATTAGAATTGATTGTATAAAGATTTTTTAATTTAGCAAAACAGAATTGCCTTACTTGTTCAATATTGAGTAAAAGGCAAACGTGCCACCTTCCCCATTATCATCTGCTCTCAAAACAATGAAAACATATTTTATCATTGGCACGATAGTCTTATGGATAACATAATTAAATATATTTAAGAAACTGGTCAAAAAAAAATAAAAAAATAAAAGAGAATTAAATGAAATGCGACACATACCAATGACCAGAAAATTAAAGAACAAATGCCTATAGAGAATCAATATAATAATTAATACATCAAAAAATTATATTCGTCTGTAAAGTGGGGTCTTACCGATAACATCACGGGCATCTTCAGGTGGATCAGGAAAAATTGCCGAAAGTACATATAAGGGAGATGTGCCAATATCTCCATAAATAACACCTTGTGATGATTATATTTTTTTGGTTAGGCAAATTCGCCAAATTTGGATCGGACTATCTTTAAATACAAAGTCACGTGTAAAAATACCTAAAGTTCTAAAAGACATGAATAAGATAGCAATGACTCCAACGCTCTGAAAATATTATCATCAATTAGAGCTATTAAAGAAATTTGCGAAAAACGATTCTTCTTATTTGTCATACCCGGCCTGCTCGTTTGTGTTGTTCTTCAAGATTTTTCTCATAACTCAATATCGAAGCAGTCGATTTTAAATCAACCATATTGACGATTATTATTATTATTTTTTTTCGTATAGTTAAGATATTGTTTCGGTCATAAATGAACCGAATGAAAAAAAATGTCAAGTATTATTTATAAAGAATTTTCAAAAAAAAAAAAAAAAAAAAAAAAAAATTTTTTTAAGGAGACAATATCAAAAAAAAATCGATTAAACAAATTGTTTATTATTTTGAATTTGAAATTTCGTAGAATTTCTAGTCTGTATACATTGTATACATTTCTGATATTAGGCAAGTGGAAAAAGGATTTTTTGAAGCTTAGTTCTTTTTATTTTTTATAGTTTAGATGACCCAATCACATTATACAGTGGCTATTCGAACTCAAACGGGATAAGTCACTGGGATGTTACGCTGCTTAAAGTGAAAATCGGTTACTACTTTATTCGTTTATAACAGGCTTAAACGAATTCGAAAAAGAACTCCTTTATTAAATATGCAATATCACAATTGTAAATTATCTTTCGGATCAAAAGATTCTAAGTTCCGAATCCTAATCCGGCTAATCATGACAAAACGTCAAAGATAATTGCCAAAAATAATTTCGGAAAATTTTTATTTAATTTGCGATCTTATCGATAAAAAAAAAATATTGTATTTTAAATTAGAGTTCGTTAATCTTTTGTGAATCAAATTTCATATGACTAAATATAGTCAATTTGTGATTTTCCCCACTTATAAATAAAATTATTGTAATAGTTTAGTAACCCCATTGGAAATTGACGATCGCCATTTTTTTGCTTTTTCAAATCCATTTGTAGCTTTTTCATAATCAGACATTGTTTGAAATATTTCTTCTTCCGAATTCATAACGAAAGGTCCATAATTCACCACAGGTTCCTAAATAAAATATTGAATTTTTTTGAATTTTTTTTTTTGTGTTGTGAATACAAATTTGTTATAACTTTACCTTCAATGGTTTTCCTGCAAACAGCATAAACCTTAAATCTGTATCTTTTGCCTCTATGGGTAAATAATCTCCATTGTCATTCTCCAAAAATAATGCATGATGTTCTTCGCCTTTAAATTGATTTCCACCAAAGTAACCATTCCCACTTAAAACGTAAATGAATCCCGAATAATCCTTTGGAATTTTTTGTTCAACTCTTTTTCCTTTTTCAAGTTTAAAATCCATAAACATTGTAGGAGTTCTAGTAAATACTGTACTTTTTACTCCGAAACTTTCTCCTGCGATGATCTTTACTTCAATTCCAGGTTCGGGTTTCGCTCTTGGAATTTCCGAATCTTTTAGATCTTGGTAAGAAGGTTCAATCATTTTGAATTCTCGTGCTAAATTTATCCAAAGTTGAATACCACGACATGGCGTCTTTGAAGCAGGCATTTCAGCATGAACTACGCCACGACCCGCGGTCATCCACTGAACGTCACTGTGTGTAAATGAACGAAATATTTAGCAATATGAATTTTTTTTTTTAAAAAAAAAAAATCCAAAAGGATATATTGAATTTATGTACCCGGGTCCAATCAATCCCACGTTCCCTACAAAATCTTCATGTGCAATTGCTCCTTCTAATAAATAACTAACTGTTTCAAATCCTCGATGAGGATGATCGGGAAATCCTGCAGGTGGGACAACTTCAAATATATCGCACATCAAAAATGGATCTAAAGTTCTTGATCCACCTATGCATCTTCGAACTGTAGCGCCCGCTCCTTCTGGTTGACTCTAATTTTGAAACGACCATAAAAGTTATTTAAAAGTTGGTTATATTTTGAAAATATCAGTCATTCATTACCTTGGCGAAAAAAGACCTTGCAATATTTCTAGATAAAGTACCGGCCATTTTTTTAAATTTGATAAAATATTTTAGATTTGAATTTCGTGAAATTTAATTCCCATTTAACTCTTTTTATATATAACTTTTTCATATCCGATCGCTTTGATTACAAATTCATTGTTTATCATTCTTTTTAATGACAAATTCAGTGTAGATTATAAATGAATGGATTTACCTGGTTTAAACGTTTATGCCGATCAATTATTTTAGTTTTATTATAAATCTCCAATGATTACATATATATTTATTAATATCAGAAATTGATTTTAAATTATATTAATTATATATATAAATTTATTACTAAATATAAGATTTATGCCTTACATTATTTTTTGAATTGTTATTTTTATTAAATATATATTAATTATATTTTATAAATTTATAATTAAAAATATTAAAATTATTATTTATTTATATTATAGTATATAATATTAAAAATTTTTAAATTAATAAAATATTTAATAAAACTATATTCTAATTTATATAAATTAGAGTGTAACTTATTTTAGATTGTGTTATCTTCCTGTCTAATTTGAACTTCTTTTTATCTTATTTATATTTTCAGCCTACTTATTCTTATAAATTTAACTATAAAAATCTGTTTAAATCTTTACTTTAATTTAGTTAAATAAATATTATATAAATTGATTAAAATTTAACTAATAATACTAATTACATTTTATTCAATTTAAATTTAAATAAAATAAGAATTTTTAATTAAAAATTTATAAAAAATGAATTTGTATATTATTAATTTATTTACTTTATAAATACTAAAATTAATTTTAATAGAAATTAAGATATAAGTAATTTAAATCTGTAAAATAACTTTATTTAGATTACTATATATAATTTTTTTAGACTAAAATACTTAAATTATAATAAAAAATAAGTTTGTATTATAAAATATTATTTATTATATAAATATTAAACTAATCTTAATAAAATTAAAATTTTAGTAATTTTAAATCTATTAAATTATAAATGCTTGCTAATATCTCTTAAAATAATTTTATTATATCTTTTTTTATATTTTTAATATTTTAATTTTTTTCATATCAGAAAGATTTTTATATAATTTATTATATTTTAATATAATTTATCTTAGTTTTGATTATTATTAAGAAATTTTATTCTTTATCTATATATTAAAGTTTACTTAAACTAATATTCTAAAAAATTTAGTTCAGTTCAAATTACAAGTTAATACAAAATTAAATTCAAATTTTAATTCAATTTGATTCAGATTATAAATTCTAAAAATGCTAATCTGAATTTAAACTAAACTTAAATTACAAAATTCTGATCTAAATCATAAATTTTAGATTAATTCACAAATTTAATTTAATTATATATTTTTATCATTTGATAAAAATAATATTTTGATTATTCTAATTAAATATTTAATAAAAATGATAATTTTAATTATTTTAATTAAATAATTTTTTTATTATTTGATAGATAAATAATTTTTGATTATTTTTATTAAATAATACTTTATTATTTAATAAGAATAATAATTTTAATTATTATTATTGAATAATACTTTATCATTTAATAAAAATGATAATTTTAATAGGGATCCTAAAAATCTTTTATATAACTCAGATTATTTTTTTAATGATATGATACTATTATAAGTTTATTAATTATATAATTTAGGTTAGAATTTATATTGAGTTTATATGCAAATTCTAATAAAAATTACGTATTATAGAGAAATTTTTAAAATTCATTATCTTATATATTTCAATTTTAAGCTAACTAGAGTGATTAGATTTAAATAATCTTAATGTCATTAAAATTATTTTGATAAAAAAAATCTAATAGTAATAAATCATATTTCTAATATTAATATTAATTAAATTATTATATAAAATACATTTTACTATAGTTATTGTGAGTTATGAGAAATATTTAAGGTCTTGTTTTAATTATTTTATTAAATAATACTTTTATTATTTAATAAAATGATATTTTGATTATTTATTAAATGATTTTTTTTCATTTGATAACAATAATAATTTTGATTATTTTTATTAAATAATACTTTTATCATTTAATAAAAATGATAATTTAAATATTTTAATTCTTATATTATTTAACAATATTATAAGGTTAATAATAATATGATCTATAAATGTAATATAGTACTGAATGTTAAAAATGATAAATATATTAAATATTAAATATATTAAATATGTTTAATATAATTAATATATTTGATTTATTAAATATAATATTAAATATATATATAGAAAACTAAATTCATTATAGAAAAGAGTAAATATTAATTGCTAAATGTAAGCTGATCAGTTCAGTGATGGCTATATATAAATTTCTTTTTATAAAAATAATACAAAGTTACTCTTTTCTACTTGTGATTAATTTTTTTTTATATTTCTTATTTTAGTATTTTTATCTTTTAGTTTATTTTTTTATCAATAAACTATTTTTTGATTTACTTAAAACTTCTTTGTAATATCTTATATTAATAACATAATTAATATTTGCTTTAACTTAATATATAAAAATTTACTCAATAGTATATTGAATATATTTAGCAGTATATAGTAGTATTCTGTACAGATTCAGATCGATCTGAATTCAATCTGAATCTGACAGATCAGATTCAGATCAGATCTATCAGATTCAGATCTAATTTAGATTCAGATTCAAATCAGATCTAATCTGTCAGATTTATATTGAATTCGAAGGATCTGAATTTAACTTTTTTAAAGCTGAAAATTTTCTTTTCAATGAAAAAAGACGAATTTTCAGACTTCTTTTGAGCTAAAAATTTGTTTCCTTTCATTGAAAAGAAACGAATTTTTGAATCTCTTTTAAAACTAAAAAGTTCCTTTCATTGAAAAGAAACGAATTTTCAGAACTCTTTTAGAGCTGAAAAGTTCCTTTTATTGAAAAAAAACGAATTTTTAGAACTCTTTTAGAGCTGAAAAGATTCTTTTATTGAAAAGAAATGACTTTTCAGAACTCTTTTAGAACTGAAAGGTTCCTTTCAATGAAAAGAAATGACTTCTCAAAACTCTTTTAGAGCTGAAAAGGTTCCTTTTAATGAAAAGGAATGACTTTTTTAGAACTCTTTTAGAGCTGAAAAGATTCTTTTCAATGAAAATAAATGACTTTTTAGAATATTTTTAGAGTCAAAAAGGTTCCTTTTTAATAAAAAAGAACAACTTTTCAGAATTCTTTTAGAGCTGAAAAAGTTTCTTTTAATGAAAAGAAATGACTTTTTAAAACTCTTTTAGAGCTGAAATGGTTCTTTTCATTGAAAAGAAACATTTTCAAATCTCTTTTAGAACTGAAAATTCATTTTTTTAATAATACTTTCAGATTCAGATTGGATCAGATTTGGACTTAAACTGATTCATCAGATCTGGATTTGAGATTCGATCCATCAGATTCAGATCAGATTTGGATTTTAACGGATCTGTCAAATTTGGATCAGATTCAGATTCTGAAAAATAAAAATTAGAGCAGATCAGATTTGAATAAAATCCGATTTGATCTAATTTTACGGAATACTACATATAGGCTCTCAATCTATTCTAAACATTAATCCTTGTCTAACTAGTTTGATTACATGATAAAAAAATTGCATATTATATTTTCACGCAATATATTATTTTCTTTCCTTTTTGTGAAAAATCTGAATTTAATGATAACATTCTTTTACACGTATGATCAGTATTGACCACTTTTATAAGTTTAGTTAATCTAATTTAATCTAGTTAGCCAACACATACGATACTCTTTTTTTGGCAGATTTCATGTAATTATAATAAACATTATCATTATATCTGAATATTCTCTGAATATAATTAGAAAAGACTATTAAATCTAGATAATAATAAGTAATAATACATACTTCTATTAATAACATCATCTTGCAAATATCTGCCAACTTTATTTAATCATCTTCAAATTTTCAAGGATTTTTTTAGCAAGAAATATATCTTTATCGACCAAGCATACTCTTTAGAGTTCACCTTAGTTTTCTAGTTTATTGTTTAAAAGTCAGTATCAAATATTTATTTTTGAAGGTTATGCAATTTTAAACTTAACTATATACGATATATATTTAATATGATATATTTTCTAGATATTTCTGCATCCTTTTCCTGTTAGTTCAGAATCTTCTGCAAAGAGTATCGACCGCATTACGAAATGATTATTCAAATTTGAAAATTTCTAAAATACAATTTATTACAGTATCATCAACAATTTTTCCACCCTCAATATTCACCTGGTATTATACCTTTCGCGTTTTCATTTTTCATAAGTATTTTGGGAGAGCTGGGAATTTTTAAGTAATGAAAAAAAATTATTTTACACTTCTTATATGAACTCAAAAATGATTATCATAATAATATTCAACCAATAAAACATAATGCTAGTTTGTTTCACATCACATGAGAGGTTTGCTATAAAATTGATTTATGAACATAATAAATCATATGATCTGTAACGTGATTTTAATAGCTTACTTTTCACATATTTAATTTTAAGAAACGCGTTTATTTCAAAAAAAAATTTTGCGTTTTTTGTTTTTTTCATTAAAATAAGAATAAAACTAAAGCTGCAATTGTGTACTAATATAATAAAAGAGCTAAGAGACAACTTCTATTAATAAAATGTTCGAAATTGCAACATCTTTTTACAAAGAACTTAAATTCTGCCACGATCAATAAGATCAAGCAGAGCAAGTTTTAGAAACACAGTCAAAACTTTTGAAGAGTGAATATTATCAGATCCTTACTTTATTTTACATTAATATTTAAATTAATACTATTTAGTTTTGCTTTTTTTATATTAATTTTTATTCTTTTTTTTATTATAGAAAGAAATATACAATTATGTATTAGATGTATAATAATATTTGACTTTTTATCACTAGTGTAATGTAGAAAGTACTATGAAGTCTATCAAAGAGAAAAAAATTGATCTAGATCCAAAGAATACTTCGTTTGTAAAAGAATTTTGGATATATGGTAATATAATTAGCTGATCCTCAATTTATCCTTATTGAGATTATTTAATATTATTTTAAATTCTAGGGCGTATAAATAGAAATCAGAATTCAATGAAGCTATATGCGAACTAATATATATAGCAACATAGATTGCGCCAGATTTCAAAATTTTGAAAACAAAAATCCTAACTTATTTAATAACTTATGATCCATTTGTCATCAAAATGGCGAAAATAGAACGTGTACAAATCTAATAAGAAGACCAGTAGAAAATGCGACGGCATACTTTTCATGGAAAGTAAAGCAATAGAAAGATTAGTGTTTGAAAATGTTTGCTCCTCCAAAAAAGAGTAACACTCAAAGTATTACAAGTGTATTAAGAGATTTATTTTCAGAAATGTTTAAATTACTTTCTAATAAACCATATCTTGAATATTTTGGAGATTTAAATAAATCATTTCATAATGCAATTGATACTCTGTGTAAAAGATTTTGGACAAATAGGCAAGGAGTTGTGGAAATCTTCAGGAAATATAGTGAATTAGTTTATATCATGCACAGTAAGTTTTTAAAATTGCATTGCTTTTTTCTTTTGAAAGTAGACATTTAGTGTTGACTTACTAACAATAAACTAGAAAATCAAGGTGAACTCTGGAGGGGATGCTAGGCTGATAAAGACAAATGCCTTGCTGAAAGAAATACAGTCAACCCTCTCTATAGTCACACCCATATATAGTCACACCCCCTTTATAAGCACACTTACATTTGTCCAGGTTACTAATAAATTTATTAAAAAAACCCCCCTCTCTTTAGTCACATCATATAGTATTTTTATAATCACATCATTTTTTTTTGGTCCCGAGAAGGGTGACTATAGAGAGGGTTGACTGTACCTTGGAAATTCGAAGATGACTGGATAAAATTAGTAGATGTTTGTAAAATGTTGTTACTTATAGAAGTATATATAATCATTATCATCATTATTCGCACCTAGATCTTAATGTATCTTTTTTAATTGCGTTATTCCAGAGAATTTTCAGGTTTAACGATGATGTTTATCATGATTATACGAAATCTGCTCAAAAAAGAATATCATGCGTGTAGCGGAATGGTTATCCTTAAACTCAATGTTTCCACAAAAGAAAAAGCAACTCGGAAATAAGATTTAGTTACTATTTTTTTTTTTTTTTTCTTTCTATTTTAGCTAGTTGTTTCATAGAAATGTATACTTTTAAATAGTTTTTTTTTTTTTGTTTTTATATAGTTCTTATTTTCTTTTTTTTCTATTCAAACAGCTATGTAAATTCCCGTTAGACAAGGATCAGTGTTCGGAATAGATCGCGAGCCTTTGTGCCGGTCTCACGGCGGTCCCCTAGCCTGGCTTTTACATAGTTTGATTGACCATTTTTTAGTACATATGGGTTGATTGCTAGGAAAATCAGGTTCCGGGAATTTTTTAGCAAAATTGAGATTTTTATTGCATTTTAGT